TCAAGCCCGGAACTATTCTTGTTGCGTGTCTTTGAACACTTTCTATTAAATTTTTGTCCTTTTCAAGTTTCGGTGACCACACGACGTTTCCAAACTCTAGGTTCGGGCGCACGACAGCAACAAACAACTGCTTCATCGCTTCAGCATCTATGTACTCGTAAGAGCATCTGATCAGTCCAAGTCGTTTATTGGATTTATTAACTTGAGCTTCAATATGCTTAGAAAATTTCAATTCATTGTCGACATCAACTCCTAAATATTTTTCCATTGTCGACTTCAACATCATCACTCTGTCATTGTGAGAGACGTTGTAGATGGAACATGCTATATACGATTTAAACGGCGTTATAAACAAAAAAAGAGAGAGAACATCAATTTAGAAGTAGCCGAATATTTATAATTCGATCGGAAGTAAGCAAAATTATAATGTTTTTCTATGAAATATGTTGTCTGTTTTTTATACAGAATCTGGGATAATCTGGGTGTTTTTCAGTAACTATCTAAGTTTTTTTCTCATATTATTGGCTGGGAGCCCTGCTCACGCTGTCTCACTGTGCACTGTGCAGACAGTCAGACTCTCAGTTGTGGTTGGTTGAGCGAGTAATCCAGTGAGAAACTCTCGTGGTTTGCTTCTTTTTTTTTTGATAATTTAATCAAGTTTATTCGCTTCCTTTAATTTCATTCACCGAACTTTACTATCGGTGCAGGTATCTAACCTACACGCTAATGATCAAGGAACAAACTTGTTAAATACATCAACAAACGTGAACAGTGATTATGCAATTTTTGTGTTGGTTGTTTAATATCTGCCAACTGAACTTCTCGAGACGAGACTGAGAGCGATTGTTCTGCACTCAGTACCTTTATTTTGGACCAACAAAAGAGGGCATATTTCATCGTTTTGTTGGTGGTTTATTTAACTATGTTTTTACTTATGTAAGAATAAGGAAGAAATAACAACGGCAACAGTAACGATTTGTTTTTATCTTATTTATTAATTTTTAGGTAGACTGTTGCACACATTGTTTCAGTAATTTCTGCGTTGAAAATTCATTATATATTACTGAAAATTTTGCACTATTTTTATTTTAATTTGTGATGAAATTATTGAGAAACATTAGTTCATCATGTTAGTTTTTGTTGTAGTACGCGACTCTATTCTCGGTGCGCAATGCCCCTGGCGAGAAAACGAACATCGAAAACTGGGAGTGGCACTGAAAAGTTCGTTGACATCGCAGAGAACATGTAAATCCAGTAAGAAACTCTCGCGGTCTACATTTTTCGATAAATTAATCAATGTTTGTTGCTTTGATTAAATTAATGTTGTTGAACCTTACTCGCGGTGCAGTTTTCTGAGAGTATGTTTCATTGTTTCGTTTGTTGGTGGATTATTCAACTTTGTAGCCTATATACTATGACATGGAAGAATAACTAAGGATTACCAACGGTAGGAGTAACAGAATTAATTTTTTTATGTACTATAGACATATTGTTACTATCATTTGTGCGTTAATAATTCATAATATGTTAGTAAAATTTTTGCACCTCGAAAACTGGAGTTGGTGTGGCACGGGTCGGAAACGTTCGTTGACAACTTGACATTGCAGAGTTCGTTCGCGGCGGAATGGCTGTAGCCGGGATCGGTAGCGGGCAATTGTCAGTTGCGTTCACAGCGAAAGCCCGTGTGTTAATTTCGTTCCCTAAAGTAACTGATTAAATATTGTGATCCAAAGTTTCATAGGTACTCTTAATAACTTAAATAGTAAGGTAGCTCCTTCCTAAACTCAACTAGCAGTCTGTGTCTGGCTAAACTATAAACAGCCTATTAATTAAACTCAACTCAACTGGGCGGTCTCACTCTCAGCCGTCTGGCCTTTCTCCCTCAGAGGCTCAGACTCAGAGGTTTATAAGTCTGCTTTGCTATTTTTTTTCTTTTTTTGGTTTTCTTTTTCTTCCTTTTAGAAGCTGAAGTTGGTATAATACTATAACATTGGACTGGAGTTTGGAGAGTTCATCTGCCTTACCGGCTCAGCTTTTGGCCCGCCCCTTGCGCTTGGAAAGTTGGAGCTGGAGCAATGGAAAATGGTATCATGGTAATACTAATACTGTTAGTCTGTTACTGCTCTCGGTCTTGGGGAAGCTAATAAAATAATGTAATATGCAAGTGGATGATTGATGATAATGTTTTAGTTAATGATAGTGGATAAGGTCATTAAGGACTTAGGGTGGAGGAATCTGACTGTGAAAGCTTGATTGAAGCAAGCTTGCTCTGAGCCTCTGTGGAGGCACAGAGTCTAGGTTGAAAATGCAGATATTGGGACAAGAGCGAATCAACTAAACAACTATCAAGTGACAAGTGAGAGCTGTGTTGGTGTAAGGCTGGGCTGCCCGGCTGAGAGTGGGAGGGCTACACAGTACACTTGTAACACTTCCAGGCTTCCTGCTACAGCTGTGCTTAGAAACCAAATCCAAATTCAGTTGAATAGTGCTTCCAATTTGGCAATTTGAATGGCAAAATTTGCCCTACCATGGAAACAAGGTTATTATTATTGAACTGAATATTTTAGCAGAACCATGAGATTTCCCCCAGAAGCCCAGATGAATTACCTCCTATCTAATTGTTAACGAAAGTGCACGATGGGGCCACAAGATTCCTAATGTATTAAAAAATTTTCGCGCTGGAGCTGTGAGATTTCATAAACAAGTAGGAAATTTCCAATCCTGACCACAACTCACAAGCATTGTTGGTGGTCCCATGGACATTTTTGTCTCATTCATGAATGGCTTCTGCTCTATTTTCCAGAATGATCTGTGTATGTGGTCCTTGCTTAATTTTATTTCATGTTCCCTGTTCTGTATCTTTTCTGTCTTCACTTATGACATGACAGTTAGTTGTTTACCCCAATCAGGACGTGAATAACAAGCATCTCTTCTATCCAACAATCAAGTCGACAATCAAGTCCCTGCAGTCCCTGCTGAGTGCTGTCAGTGTTGTGTGGGCAATTGATTGCTACAGGCTAGAAAAGTTCAACTTAAATGCATAAATTGTAACAAATAGTAAGAAGAACAATGAAGTCCAAACCTTCCAAATATCTCTTGGCCTGCTTGTGGTTGGAGCATGGCCTCTATGTGGGCCCAAATCGACAGTCAACTTTTTCCCCGTCCTAACCAAAGCCCATATATTTTTTGGAGCCACTGACCTTGGCTGGCCCCAGGACTGGGTCTAGGCCCCACCTTGCTTTGTGAAGCAAGATGGGGCTCAAGAACAACAACAATGCAGTTAATGCCATGCTTCTTGCTATGAGTCTCAAATTATAAATATGCAAAGAAAAGAAATCTATATAACACTCCCATCTATAAACATGTTGAATCTTTTCTTCACTGAGTTTTGCGAGCACCCAAAGCTGGGTGATTATTTTGATGGTACTTGGTACTGATGGCTGGTGCAAGGTGTTATTTTGAGTGAATTTGATTTGAATGTGAGTGCCATGGGAGTGGAAAGGTGTTTACATGTAAGTGGGATAGTGAGTGTGTTTGTAAAGAGGTATATATGAGAGTGAGAAGTTAGTGTGAGGAGTGAGTGATTGTAAAGAAGTATAGATGAGAGTAAGGAGTGAATGCAAGTGCATGACTGGGTTTTTCGTGGCCTGCCAGCATTTGTAAGCTACTCCCTAATTGACAGACATGAAGTTCAGCTGTTCTGAAATCTCTTATCTATTGTCATGTTCTGTTCATTTTTATTTCTTTTACACAATTTAATACATGCAATGCCATTATTTACTCAAATGTGATCTAAATAACCATGTTCATGTGTGGCTGATCATCACATATGCTATAAGCTCTTAGTTTAAAATAAAAGCTGGTGACTGCTTATTGGGTTTGGAATTGAATTTTTTCTGTGGAATCATGAGGTTTAATAAAATTGATGTGGAATTGCAAAAATTCGGAATTTATTTTACTTATTTAAGTTTTTACTACTAATATTTCCTCAATAATTTGGAAGTTCAAAGGATTGATGAATCATTATCTTTAATGATATTAAAATAGTGGCTTCTTTGTTAACATGTTAAGTGTGGCACGACCCATGTTTCAGGCAGATGGCCTAAAAAAAGTCCGCGAATAAAAAGGGCCTACGATTGAAAATAAAGTAGTAAATATATAGGTTACTGTGTATAAATTAAATTTTCCTTCTTTCCGGGCTTTTTAAAATTTAATGGGGTTGTACTGCAATCATAGATTTTTGTTGACAACTGCAATTGGAAAAAACTAATTGTGGAATTTATCCAAAAAAAGGCATTGCAACTCGCCAGTTGGTCGTGCCGCACTTAACCTGTTACTGGAATCTTTCAATTAGTGCCCTTGTTAATCTGCCTAAAGACCCAAAATTTGAATGAATTTAATTTCATTCGAATGATTTGTTCAATACAATTTGGCCAAGAATATAAAGGTAAAGGAAATGTTAATTATTTGCATTTGTTCATGTAGGTTTTTCTTTATTTGATAGATCTAGTTATTCTTTTGATTTGTGTTGTTTTATTGAATTTTGAATATTTCTAAGAAAATATTGTTAATTTTTGGGCAATTTTCAAACAATTTATATGAAAATAAAAAGATTATTTCATGAACACAAAACTTACTTGGTCTTTCATATTTTATTTCAGTTTTGTTAGGATGTTACTGAAGAAATATAAACATAATATAATATAAATTATCTTATGCCAGTCCAAAGGATTTGTTCTGCAGTGATCATCTGTCACAGGAGCTTTCAGGTGAGGGGCATAGTTTATCTGCTATAGATTTACTCTTATTCATTAAGTATTATTCTACTATATTGTTTAATTATATATGCATCTTTTATGAACCTTGATATGCTGAAAATTATTCAAAATTCAATTCAAGATACTGTAGAATTGCACTGAATTTCTCAGTGGCTTAAATAAGAAGCTTTCATGACTGAGATGAGTTGTATGACAGCATCTGTGGCTGTGTTTGTGTTGCTGTCAACACAAACAGATGATGTCAACACAGATGTTGCTGTGACAGCAACATCTGTGGCTGTGTTTGTGTTTAGTCAGAATAGCAGACAAGATTGTGTCCGCAGACTTCGAGGGAGCCAATAGGCAGGCGTAGTGCAGGGCAGTGTTGCCATATTTGTCCTCATGACCGACTGATGCCTGTTGAAGAAAAACTTTAAATATTCATTACAACTCTACTGCATCTATGGTTGAACTAAATAAGGTTGACCCACCAGAAGTTCCGTCTTTAAGTTCAGCTTTCCAAAACGTAAACAATCCCGTCATTCCCATGACAGATTGGTTGACTGATTTGATCGCATTTCGGTGAATAGTTAAAGCCCGTGACGTCACTGAGATCAGTGACGTCACGGGCGAACAAGCTACATCCGCATAAATGAACTTCTCATGGGTCAACCTTATACTAGTTCAACCATGACTGCATCAATTTCCGTAATGTGCAGCACTACATTCATTCTATAAATATAATAAGGTGCAGTCACGAACGTTCTCAGAATAATATGGAACACCTAAGTTCCTACACGTAATCTCTCATTTGTAAATACCACAAACTTTATCGACTTACTTCGTTTTCAAGGAGCAAAGTGACGAGGTGCACACGTCCACTCGCGACGGCTGCCTGCAAGGCACCGCTGCCTGTGATATCGTAGGCCTCAGTGTTGGCACCCGCAGCCAGCAGGAGACGAGCCGCAGCTACAGAGTTGCCATACGCCGCCATATGCAGTGCCGTCCGCCCATTACTGTCAACTGAGTTGACAGGTATCTGAAACATGAAGTGATAAATTACTTTAATTACTCAAATACATTCGCTGCAACAGTAAAAATATTTTGGACATAATTTAGAGTTGGAACACAATAGTATATTAACTGGAAAAAACTTCAGATGAAATCATATGGAGGAATTTCTTCGCACCGTCGTATAATCATTTACTTAGTATCCTTAGTATTTGTTAGGGACACAGCAGTCCCAGGCCACGATGGATCGCCGCCTCTGATTATCGTTCATCCGCCCTCATTTGGGCCACCTTATGCACGATGCTGTTGCTTGCTTCTCGCCGCTGGTAGTGTTGCAGGGGAGGTCGATCTGGGATTNGGTAAAATCTTTAACCTACAAGGTGACACAAGCATGAATAAGATGTTAACCATTTTGGTTCACTCCATCAAGTTTGAAACTGTGAGTGGAAGTTTTGAAACCCAGCTTGCTGTAAAAATTCTGTCTTGCGTCAATAATTTGCAACAGACCCCACTTATTTATCTTCAACACAGGCATACTAGACTAGTCATACAATATTATCAAAGACTTATTTGAATGCAAAACATTAAATATTCATTGGGATAGCTTACAAGTCGTCATATATAGGATCATATTTAATTTTATAATGTAAATTTCACAAAGATATTTGATACAGCAAGCAAACTAAAATAAAATGAGCCCTTGCTGAATTCCATTATCTAATGAAAAATATTAACATGATCAAGAAGTGTAATAGTTAATTGATGAACTTAGCCAAATATATTCATTTAAATAATTTACTCACTGCACAACAATTTTAGGGAAAACTGAGTCCAGGCTGCCGCTGATGCCCGAGTCTCTGCTGCCACCGCCCAAGACGGCAGCACCACCAAGCATGCATCTTAGTTTCTTCATTTCACCAAACTAGAATATCTTTGAGAGAAACAAAAAATAAATGTTTAATGTTTTTAAAGTCAAGGCTATGGGATAGATAATAGATTTGCATTTTTTAAACACTTTTGAGAGCATGACTGAGAAATTAGTTATAATTTGATGCTATATTTGGACTAAACCAAGATTTTTTGCAAGATCATTGAAATATGTAAAAAGCTTCCATGGAAATCATCTGAATAAATTCAAATTATTCTTAAAGAAAAAATTACAAATAAAATTCTCCTCCGGGCTCTTTTGTTTTATCCACAAACTCTGATGTCTATGGTGATTCTTTGCTTCAGGAGTGTAACATATTCAGCTCCAGATACAATAATATCTACTTTACAAGCAAGAAATGTAACTGTGATCAAATTGACACTTCTGTGGTTTTGCAGGTACCAAAAAAATTATTTTGGCTGCCTATCTTTTGATGTAAAAAATGGTTTGACTGCCTGGCATGACCCCACTTCTGCAAAATCTGGCATTATGTCATGGTACCCACATACATTTTTTCCAAAATAATGTTGAAATATTCAGGGAACACAGAAGATGAAAAAATTAACTATTATTGTTTCCCAGGGTGCTGAGGGTGCAAGCAGCATTGCCAATATATGGAGTTTTAGCCCAAAGCATTGCCACCCATTTTCAAGATCCGACGCTGGGTAATTTTTAATAAGAAAATGCTGCTAACAACTTTGATAGTATATCCCTTGTTCTCCACGCACTGCATCATTGCAAATGATTTCCAGACAAGCTTCACTGCATCCTGATCCATCCAACATACCAGAAACCTTACTGTGTGCGCTTGTGGTCTTCCAAATTTGTGATAATTTAGAAGTAATTTCTTATATGCAATAATTTCAATCCAAGTGTGTCAGCAAGATCTTCTGAAGGCACAAATTTTGCTGCTGATATGTCACCAATAATCTTTTGAAATTCACCTACTTTCTGCACCGCGGATTATTTCCATGGGCATGAAAATAGGTACTTGGCTATTTTGATGCAAACCCCAGATGAAGTAGATAGCCATTACTCCAGGCTCCAGGGCCATAGTGGCAAAGTAGAATGTTTTTTAGACTCTCCCTCAAATTCATTTTTGACTTTGAGTCTTATAAGTAGACCAGTAAAGTATCCTGGATAGTGGATACCAGCATTATCATACATAAGAAATTGGTTTAAATCTTGGTTGAATGAGTAAATTAAAAATGAACTGATTCTAAAAAATCTCTGGTTTGTCACCATGCTCCAGGCAGCCAGACAGGCAATTTAAATTCAGCAGTAACTCCTTGACCTCAATCTTCAAAGTTTTCAAACTAGAAAATTGGAATCATTTTACTAATTTTACGAGATTTTTGAAGTGGAAAAATTTTTATCAATGGCTAAACAAATTTTTAATTACAAAATTTAATTGATATTGTTGAAAGTTTTCTGATAAAATTATAAATCGTCTAAACAAATCAAATCATACTCTTGCAACACATATAAATTACAAGTTGCCCTAATATCATAATTTCATAATTAAGGTCATTAATTTGAAAGTGCACACTGCTTAACAAAAAATGGGTGCAAAATTTGGCAATTTATATTCCTACCTGGAACTTGGAAGGCTAGCCTGGCTGGGGCTAAAACTAAAAGGCTATATTCTGCAATCTGCTGGAGCTGGAGAAGCTGCATCATTCCTGCCATGTAGAAAATTAATAACTGAATAACTCACCCCAGCACTCGAATGAACAGCCTTCGAAAGATCCGATCTAATTTATAAACAAAACAGAACGATGTCTTTCTAGCGCGATCAAAACTGCTTCGTGGACAACACTGGCCTAAGGTGGGTTTGTGACCTGTTGCCATGGCAACGCTTGTAAACAAACATCGTTGTCCGTTCCGGAGAGTTGGATCTGCTAAATTCGAGTTAACTCGTCAAAAGTAATAGTCAATTACGAGGCATTACTTAAATTTATTTATAATTACCTACTGTAGAAGGAACAGATTAAAACTGGTCACAAAGACTCTTGTCAATGGACATAAGTAGCATCTGTAGTATAAATAAAGTTGTCATAATCTGTCATAATCACTAGTCATCTTCGGCTGAATTTCTCACTACTTATCACGGGTGAATATAAAGAAAACAAAAATTCTTGGAATGAATTATGTGGCCTAGGGTCGTATATATACGAAGTGTAGGGGGATGTCGTGCTCATATGTTGGCAAATCATGTCGACGGAAAAAGTTCAGGGTAAAGATGAAGATGCTTTCCAAATTAACTTACTGTAAACATTACGTTGAATTAATATTCATTATAACTATACAAATTAAAACAAAATAATATAATTAATCCTTTACTTTGCTACAGCTATATATTTGTTTTAATAAAGTAAGAAGAAAGAGTAGGTTGGTTGTGGCCAATGATGCTGCTGTGTGTGGTGCGGTGCGCAGGCTCCGTTTGCCACACGCAGCAACAGCGCCACATAACACGAAGGACCCAAACGAAAACACTAGAGAAAACCCTCCGCTAAGTTTCACCGGTAACTGATGCATTCAGTGATAGAAATTTCAAAAATCAAATTTTTTCAATCACTTATAATATTGATAAAAGTTTAAAATTACTGATTTTTCTGTCCTAATGAAACAGCTTAGAGAATAATACCGCTATGGATGAATTAAACAAACACAAACGCTAAATACCATCCATAAGTTATATTAAAATATAATTATCAATAAATAGAATAGAAATAACTACCAATGATTATTTTCAAGTTTATAACTTTAGAAAATCCGATTTCCAGTATCAATTGTAAATATTTATAACTATTTACCAATAATTATCTAAAAAAGAAGTAAAATAGGAAAAAAAATGTGAGGAGGGAGAGGGAAAGAAATTTTTTAAAATATAATTATCAATAATAGAATAGAATAGAAATAACTACCAATGATTATTTTCAAGTTTATAACTTTAGAAAATCAGATTTCCAGTATCAATTGTAAATATTTATAACTATTTACCAATAATTATCTAAAAAAGAAGTAAAATAGGAAAAAAATGTGAGGAGGGAGAAGGAAAGAAATTTTTCTAAGCCTCATGTCCGTCATTGGGCCACAGTCCCGCCCAGGCGGCAACAGCGCCGCATAGCTCGCGACGACGCACAGCGCCTGCCGGGCGCCATGCTTGCGGTTATTGTCATTTAAAAAAAACTTACTTACCTTCACTCAGAGAGAATAATTAGAGGAATTTACTACCTGTTTCTCTAGTAGATGCTATAGATCATCAAAATATAGGTTTTACTTGCACTTTGACGGCTGTTGCAAACAAAAAAATGAATGCACAAACATGACTTTGGCTCTATAAGGGGAGCATCTAGGGACAACTTTATCCCAGTTATTTACAGATGGATCGATTCGAAATTTGGTACACGTATGTAAAACAGAATTCTAAGATTTTTTTCATGTGAATTTAAAAATGATGACTAAATTATGACTAAGATGAAAGTAAAATGAGTTTTTAGGTGTATATATCGACTTATTGATCACATTCAACAATGACGTAAGTAAATATGAAATATTTCATTTATAAATATTCATTTTAGTAAATATAAAATATTCCGAAATGGCATAACAGTAAACATAGGATTTTCAGTTATAACATAACAGTAAATATAGGACATTCGGTGATGACATAACAGTTTTATACCGAGAACAAATCACTGTAAAAATATCTATTTAATTGTAGAATTTATAATCTGATTTGCCTGATTTCAGCGAATGAATCTAAATCAACACTATATCTAATCTTCCTCCTAAGCACAAAATTTATTTCTCTGATGCAGGAATACATCCCATTAATCTTAAATATTTTTTTGTGTGTTCCTCCACAGAACTCACTTTGAATTTACGATATGTAGTTATTTAGAGATAAAATAATTATCCCTCACTCAATATTGATACGAATTTCGGACAATTTCGTCATGTATGTTCCCAACATTTTAAGGCCGTTACTCAACAAAGATCGCGTTAATTAGTTTCAAAATGATTAATTTATTAACTCAAGAACAAATAAATATCCCCGTGAGCTGCAGGAGTTAGTTCCTCAACAAGATGCTGTGAACAGCGCTGCATGACGCGTCGGGACCTGGCGTGTACAGCTAGGGGGACTCGCCTAAACCTTTTATATTCAGAGAAATGAGCGAGGCTTAGTCCAAAAATAGATGCATTTTTAGCGCATTTTCTCATTTATGGAAAAAATTCACTATTTTGCTCGTCGTGTCCGTCTGTCTGTCCGTCCGTGACTTTATGTTTTCGTCGACGAGAAAATGCGCTCTCTGTCACTCACTGCAGTGAGTACTGAGTTATATTTTTTTACCTTTGTGTGGATCATTCTGACTCAGTTTATCCCAGCAAAAGACGGCGTATCAGTGCTACGTTTACTATCTGCTGTGAGTGTCAATAGAATAGAAGTGTCGGCACTGAAGAAATAGACCCATGGCCTGTTGCCGATTCTTGAACTTTTCGTGACTTGATTCACAAGGGATCCGGCCTTTGGAACCCGATCTTTCCATAGCTGACGATTGATTTCCTTGTATAAGCCATGAGTATACTTGTATACTTCAATGAGGTCCCCACGCAGACGTCGATAACTGAGGCTTGGAAGCTTCATAATCTTTAATCTTTCCTCATAGGACTTGCCTTTCAAGCCCGGAATTATCCTTGTTGCACGTCTTTGAACACTCTCTATTAAATTTTTGTCCTTTTCAAGTTTCGGTGACCATACGACGTTTCCAAACTCTAGGTTCGGACGCACGACAGCGACAAACAACTGCTTCATAGCTTCTGCATCTATGTACTCGTAAGAGCGTCTGATCAGTCCAAGTCGTTTATTGGAAAAAAAAAGAGAGAACATCAATTTAGAAGTAGCCGAATATTTATAATTCGATCGGAAGTAAGCAAAATTATAATGTTTTTCGATTAAATATGTTGTCTGGTTTTTTATACAGAATCTGGGATAATCTGGGTGTTTTTCAGTAACTATCTAAGTTTTTCTCATATTATTGGCTGGGAGCCCTGCTCACGCTGTCTCACGGCAAAACCTCGTATCGCTACTTAAATATGTAGCGGGCGCTACCGCTACCGCTACATTGCCTTAAATGTAGAGCCGCTACCGCTACCGCTACCGCTACTGAAAATGTAGCGGCCGCTACATTTATAATAGTTTTTTTTTCATGCAATAGTTTTTGCCCTGAGAACGAAAAAACGACGAAGAAGAACGAAGCTATGCCCTGAGAGTCTGACTGTGCAGACAGTCAGACTCTCAGTTGTGGTTGGTTAAGCGAGTAATCCAGTGAGAAACTCTCGTGGTTTGCTTCTTTTTTTTGATAATTTAATCAAGTTTATTCGCTTCCTTTAATTTCATTCACCGAATTTTACTATCGGTGCAGGGCCTATACTTTCAAAATTCGCTAAGTGAACGTAAGTACTTACGCTCTATTTTCTTGTCTATGATTGGTGGATTTTGCTTGAAAGGCCGTCAATGATTGGCTGATGAACTTATGATCTCTCAACTTTTTCTGAAAGTATGGGCCCAGGTATCTAACCTACACGCTAATGATCGAGGAACAAACTTGTTAAATACATCAACAAACGTGCAACAGTGATTATGCAATTTTTGTGTTGGTTGTTTAATACCTATCTGCCAACTGAACTTCTCGAGACGAGACTGAGAGCGATTGTTCTGCACTCAGTACGGCAACATGGGGCAGCGCGCCCACCCCTTTTTTTAAACTAAAATTTTGATGAAGTTTTAATTGATACGAGGTGGTTCTTTGTTTTGTTTAAAGGTGCAACTAATGAGGAATGTATGATGTGAATTAGACGCCTAGAGAGTTATTCAATTTTTAATGAAACACTATTTTGTAAAAAGTTTCAAAATGGGCCCATTGCCCCACCCCTGGGGCAATGGGCCCATGGGCTTGGGGCAAGGCGCCCACCCTTGGTCCCTTTACCACAATTGCATATTTTTCGTTTAAAAATGATAAAACAATACTTTACAGTTGAAAACAAGAAAAAATGTATTAAAAAATATGACATTCATTCACTTATTAAAAACTCGCTAAGTGAGCGTAAGTACTTACGCTCTATTTTCTTGTCTATGATTGGTGGATTTGGCTTGAAAGGCCGTCAATGATTGGCTGATGAACTTACGATCTCCTAACTTTTTTTGAAAGTATAGGCCCCTGGCAGGGGTCGTATTATCAAGAATAGTTACGGATTAGTTACTATGTCAGTTACTAATGGCTTTTCAAGCTAAAATAAATTATCACAAATGAGAAATTGACCACTGCGAATACGTATACCTAGGCCGGTACGTGTACTTAAACCGGTACGTGACTTGAATCGAATGTTTATCTGAAAAAATTTGAAAGTAAGCACTAGAACGCGGGTGGTGAACACGGCACTAGAACGCGGGTGGTGAACACGGCACTAGAACGCGGGTGGTGAACACGGCACTAGAACGCGTTTAATTCTTGAAAATTTAGCTTACTTTTTATTCTGATTTTGGTCATTTTAACTCTCTACAAAAAAAAACTATTAATAAATCGAACATGTTCACGTAAGCAGCGTGCACGTAACATGTTCATAACGTGTGACGCCGGGGAGCGAGGGGAGGGGGGGTTAAATAAAACAGCCAAGACATGGGGGGCGCGGGGGGGCGTTTATTGATCACAGAATCACATTGGGGGGCGGGGGGATACTCAAACCCCCCACCCCCTGAAATATTTACTATCTGAACTGTCAAAAATGGGGGAGAGGGGGGAGGGAGGGGAGATGGAAGGGGGAAAGGGGGAGGGGGAGGCTGCATGTATAACTCCCCTCAGCCCGTGGGTTGCCCGCAACCCCACAAATAAACTTGGGTGTAAGTAAAGTGGGTGAATGGAAGAAATAGATGACGGTAATAAAAAATATAACTCAGTACTCACTGCAGTGAGTGGCAGAGAGCGCATTTTCTCGTCGACGAAAACGTGAAGTCACGGACGGACAGACGGACAGGGCGAGCACAATAGGGCATTTTTTCCATAAATGAGAAAATGCGCTAAAAAGATCAATGGAGAAGATAAATGATGAATAAATGATGTTATTAGATGAGGTAAAATAGCCCCCTGTTTTCCCCATTAAGACAAGAGATAACGGGACGGGGTATGGGGGGTTACGGTGAGGGTAGGGTGGAGGTTGCACATTAAGACTCAAGATTAACATACAACGTATAATAATATTCAAATATCTCTCTATATATATATATATATAATATATATTTTATGTATATATCTGACGATCTCATAGCTAAGACAATATACAAAGCTCTATGTACAAATCCCTTACGATGTACAGGCGCTTGTCTTCAACGTCTTACGATCTACGATACAAAACTACGACGGACTTACGACTAACTCGTCTGGCGCAGATTAGTCAGCAGCAAATGTATTTATATAATATTAATCAATAATATTATATAGATCGTATTATGTCTATTTAAATTATGCGCCGCTGCTTCGTAACTACATGGAGCACGTGCTATATATTATTCAATAGATCAATATAAATCAAAACGTACAAATGACCATGTAGGTTCAGTAACATCATAAGCAGAGACAAACCTCGTGTGAATATAATGGTCTCCGCTCGAACGCACCAGTTTTCTCTCACGCCCCACACAGAAAACGTAACATTTCTATCGTATACTTAAATAATAAATGATGTTTGAACAGCAAAATATGAATTAAAGATAGGACGCAAGTCACAATTGTCTTAAAAATCAATAAAAATGAGTCCACAGGCGACAATTTTATGGACCAAATTATTAATAAAAAAGAATTTGATTTTCTCGACAGCGTTAACACTTTACGCTGGGTAATTGAAGCGATGGCCACATGTAGTTAATTATTAAATTAAAAACAGTTAGTTAATTAGTGCATTAAATTAATACGAATTCATTACATTAACATAAATAGAAAAGAACCCACAATCAAACTACACATTCATGCGGAAGATAAAATCCTGATATTTAAATGATATTTAAAAAACACCCACAGAATTGGGCAAGATCAAGCCACGTCGGGACAAATATTTTCTATCAACTCGCCCCTACAGATGGAATTATTAAGCATAATTCTATTTTGTTGCAACAAATGAAAAAAACAGCAACAAATGAATTACACAACATAACGAGGTCAAGGTCAAGAACATCGATGGTAGGAGCATTCAGTAAATGAATGCCATGCCAGAAGGGCTCAAAGTTATTCAATATTTTCATTGGCAAAAAATTGTTTACTTAGCGCGGTAAGTTAATTAATGAGTCCATATAAAAAAAGAACCGTGACTTGCAGATGCACGATGACTCAAGTGGCAGGCTTCGTAATGGTGGGTTCCAGGTTCTGGCTGATGTGACAAGATTACTTAATGGCAAAAAATTTGTTTACTTAGCGCGGTAAGTGAATTAATGAGTCCATATAAAAAAAGAATCATGACTTGCAGATGCATGACGACTCAAGTGGCAGGCTTCATGATAATGGGTTCTGGGTTTCGGATGATGTGACAAGATTACTTGAATAAATTGCCTGGTTGCTGAGATAATGAATGACTCGGGCGTCCTAATATAGGAGCCCTTGGCTGTCCTGACAAGCGTCTCAATGGAGATCTATTGGGCGTCCTGAGATAGTCCTAGGATATCCTTACAGGCGTTCTAATGGAGATCTATTGGGCGTCCTGAGGTGTCCGTCCTGACAGTCCTAGGATGTCCTTACAGGGGTTCTAATGGAGATCTATTGGGTGTCCTAGGCTGTCCTGACAGAAGTCCTTGGCTGTCCTGACGGTGTCGGTAGTGACGTGGGTCCTCATAACCGGCGCCCCTTCAGCAGCCGCCGTCACAGCATCACCAAATTGCTGCAGTGACAGTCTCCGCGTTACTGAACCTCCTGCAGCAGCTGCTGACGCAGGCACGCCAGGTCCTGGTACTCGTAGAGGCGCTTCATGCCCCTGGGCAGGGCGCGGCAGGACGACAGGTTCACCTGCACCAGCAGCAGGCAGCGCTCCAGCACCCGACGAACCGCCCGCACCGACACGGACGAGCCCTTCAGGTTCAGCACTCTGTGGGGGGAGGGGGTTAGTGGGGGGCTCTGGACCGTGAATGTGAGGGGGGACTATGACAGGAGGGGTTACCATAACCCTTTCGCTACAAAGCAAATCTGTAACCCTGTGGGGGGAGGGGGGTTAGTGGAGGGCTCTGGACCGTGGATGTGAGGGGAGACTGTGACAGGAGGGATTACCATGAACCTTTTGCTGCAAAGCAAATCTGGAACCATGAAATTTCACGTTAAGGTGATCCGGGTTTTAGGACCTATGTACGCGATGTTGGCCTATTTTATACTAGGACCTTTATACTAGTGCTAGGACCTTTTACTAGTATACTAGGACCTTTATACTAGTACTACTAAACTTGGACCTTTATACTAGTACTGGAAGACCTAAATACTTGTGCGAGTGTTTGGGTAGAATTTTAATTAGCAAGATTTAAAGTTAGCAAACAGTTGATACAATAATTTTTAACGAGTTTCGCTTTTTATTAATGCTTCATCTATCTAGCCAAATTTTGTGATAATTATTTTATTTACTGCCTGCAATTGAAACTATTACCGTTGCAATTAATGATTGTTAGTCCACTTAATAGCTGCTAATCAAACTGCATTTTGATAGTTCATTCATTTGATTCTAGGATAGTTATTTGTTCATACTATGGTTAATTTAATGGCTACTTGACTAAATTTTTTAATATTGCGTGCTGATTATTGTTTGTAATTTTACGAAATTTCATTACTTCTGACAGAATTCATCCATCATCGTCCGTGTATTAATTAGAGCTATTATATTACTGCTTGCCCCTCTCATGCTCCTTAATTTACATAGTAAATCACTCAATACCTTGTTTCTTCATTTTCATCTAGGTTACTCGTCAATGTCCAACCTAGTTTATACCCAACGATTTGAACTTTTTATCAGTTATTCACCTCGATCATTGTTTTGCTACATTATCACTCACTTGTTAACAAACAATACATATTTCAGTTAATGGTATTTGCCGCTGCCCTCACGTCCCCTCAAGTCCACCGCTGCCCTCACGTCCCCTCAAGTCCACCACTGCCCTTACGTCCCCTCAAGTCCACTGCTGCCCTCACGTCCCCTCAAGTCCACCGCTGCCCTCACGTCCCCTCAAGTCCACTGCTGCCCTCACGTCCCCTCAAGTCCACTGCTGCCCTCACGTCCCCTCAAGTCCACTGCTGCCCTCACGTCCCCTCAAGTCCACCACTGCCCTCACGTCCCCTCAAGTCCACTGCTGCCCTCAAGTCCACCACTGCCCTCACGTCCCCTCAAGTCCACCTGAGATTGACCGCGTCCTCAGCCAGGGCCCCGAGGGCGGCATCAAGCACGTCCTCGTCGCCAGTCCACGCGAGGTCCAAGTCCACAAGACCACGCGCCCACTTGCGGACGACGAGCTCCAGGCGGTCGGAGTAGCGCTTAATGGAGCTGCCTCCAGCCAGGTACAGGTGCTCCATGGACCAGGGGGGCACCCGCACCAGGGAGCCGTCGCTCACCAGCGCGCATCTGCAGTAATAAATGTAAGTTAAAATAATAAATAATAATGAATAATGAATAATAGCGTTAATAAACGTGGGTTAAAATAATATGTAATAAATAATGAATAATAACGTTGATAAGTGCATGTTAATTAACAAAAACTTCAATAAATGTGGGTTAAAATAATAAATAATTAAATTAACAAAAAGGTTAATAAATGTGCGTTAAAATAATAAATAATTAAATTAACAAAAACGTTAATAAACGTAAGTTAAAATAATAAATAATAATAAATAATGATCAATAGCGTTAATAAACGCATGTTAATTAACAAAAACGTTAATAAACGTGGGTTAAAATAATTAAATTACTGAATGGGTACCCGAAATGTGTTGAGAAAATTGGGTTAAACATATTAAAATACCAAATGATTACTCAAAAACATTAATAAACGTGGGTTGAAATTATTAAAATACAAAGTTAAAATAATTAAATAACCATAAGTATTAAATTACAAAATGTGCATTAAATTACCAAATGAGTACCCGATTGAAGACCCATAAACTAAATTACTACTTAGTTACCCATCACCAACACCGCCATAAGGTTAGCCTCATTAGGTACTCATTAACTCAACTATACCAGCACTCAGCACCTGCACCGCCATAAGGTTAGCCTCATTAGGTACTCATTAACTCAACTATACCAGCACTCAGCACCTGCACCGCCATAAGGCTAGCCTCATTAGGTACTCATTAACTCAACTATACCAACACTCAGCACCTGCACCACGTAAAATATTGCTAGGTGAAGGTTAATTCTGCTGTAGGACGAACTCCTTAACTGCTTACTCCTTACATTAACTCCTTACTTACTAATTAACTCCATAACACCCACCACCCTGTCACCCATTCATCTTTTAGGACATCCCCAGTCTCGACCCCCAACCCACCAAGAACATTAAATCAACAAGACCTGCAAGCAACACACATCCTTCAAACTAATCCACTGCGTTAGCCATGGATTAGTTTGAAGACGTTAGCCCCAGACGCCTTCAGAGGTCAAGTACCGTCATCCATCTACATAAGCTCCATCACAACTTTACCCCAACCTTCTTGCGTCTTCCTCAACCCCAACGCACACACCGACGTCACCCACTCCCCGTACCCCTAACATCACCCCAACGCACCCCCTGACCTCCAGCAGCGTGAGCCTGACGTCACCGCACCCCCCGTACCCTTAACATCACCCCAACACACCCCCTAACACCACCCCAACACACCCCCTGACATCACCCCAACACACCCCCTGACATCACCCCAACGCAACCCCTAACATCACCCCAACGCACCCCCTAACACCACCCCACGCACCCCCTAACGTCCAGCAGCGTGAGCCTGGTGGAGTTCTTGAGGAGTCGCTCGAGCTCGTGGTCGTTGATGCCGACGTGCTGGCGGTCATCTGTGGCGACGAACAGCTGCTCCAGGTGGGGGAAGCCCCTGGAGGCGGCCTGCTCCGCCATGGAGGCGCTGTTGAACCTGGCCTTCGTCAGGGACAGCTTGAGCACCTTCAGGAGAGGGCAGCCCTCCTGCAGCGCCTCCAGGTGGATAAGTAGAGCGTCCCGCCCCACCGTCTCCACGCGACTCAGGTCCAGCACCTCCAGCTGGTGGCAGTGGGTCTGCAAAAGGCGTGATGTGAGACAAAGGGCGTGGTGTGAGACAAAGGGCGTGGTGTGAGACAAAGGGCGTGGTGTGATAGGCCGGTGAGCGTGTTGTGGCCCAGGTGCAGGTGGGTCAGGCGGGGGCCGTGGGCCATGAACAGCTCCTGCAGCGTCTGCTGGCCCACCGCCCCACGAGGCGTCGGCTTGTGGCACTGAAATATCAACAATTTCATTAATATTTATTTATGAACATTTGTTAGGCTTTAGTCAAGTCAGGCATATCTAGTCAATTTAAGTCAAGTGTGGTCGGTAAAGTCTAATCAGTCAAGTCAAGTTAGTCAAATCAAGTCAGTCAAGTTTAGTCAGTTCAAGTCTGGTCAGTCAAGTCTAGTCAGTCAAGTAAGTCAAGTCAGTCAAGTATTGTCAGTCAAGTCATGTTAAGTCAAGTCACTCAAATCAAGTCAGTCAAGTTTTGTAAAAGTCTAGTCAGTCAATTCTTGTCAGCCAACCTAAAGTCAAGTCATGTTACTCAAGTCAAGTCAGTCAAGTCAAGTTGTCATGAAGTAATGTCAAGTCAGACAATACGAGTCAGTTCAGCACACAACGCCACCTCAGCAGTCGAGCGACCCACTCAACTTCCGACGTCAGTCAAGCCACGTTGCTGACAACCACCATGTACCAACCAACGTACCACACGTACCCACAAGACGTGGGTACCACAACACCACCACCATGTGCCCCAAGTCCCCAACGTACCCCCAAGACGTGCCCCACATACTCCTAAGACTACGTACCCTGTACTACTACGTACCCCTAAGGTACGTCATCTAATTTATCACATCCAGGTGCTGCAGGGCATGCAGGAGAGCCGCCGAAATGCCTCCTCTCCATACCTCCCACCACGTGCCTCACGTACACTCCACGTACCCTCAACACGTGCCCCACGTACGGTACACCCCACGTACCCCCAAGACGTGCTCCACGTACCCCCAAGACGTGCTCCACGTACCCCCAAGACGTGCCCCACGTACCCCCCTCACGTACCCCCATGACGTCGGTGAGGTCGAGGCGCTGGAGGTGCGTGCAGTGCAGGAGGGCGGCTGCGAGGTTGTCTGCGTGCAGTTTGTTGCAGCGCGCGAGACTCAGCGACCGCAGCTGCCTACACGTCTCCCCCAGCAGCCGTAGGATGAAGGGCGTCACTGCCTCCTGCCAGCCACCTGCAACAGGAGGAGCGTTACTACCTGCAGATAAAAGATCTGGGAGAGGGGGGCAGCGAGGAAAAAGGGGCGGTAGGGGGGCGGCACTCCAAAGTCAGAAGTTCCAACGTTTGTTTGACGATTTGTACACAACACGTGCAGCACATGACTATCAGCGATGGGTTTTTCTACCCAGATCTGTTTTTTTTAAGCTGTTCTGGGTTTACGTCTCGGACAAATTTACGGACGGTCTCACAGCCTATCTCCAGATTCAGTGATCAAGGAATATCTCTTAAACTAATTATCCCTTAAACAAATGAACGCAGCTCGATGAAACTTGGTAAACGTATTCATTAGGAACTAACGGTGATGTTTAGCCATAAAAATTTTTTTAATTTCGCCTTCATTCGTGAGCTATATGGCGATACTTGTACGGCTAAATTTGCAATGATCAAGGCGATTTCAAGGAGTTTCTTCCAAACAACTGAACAGATTTGAGCAAAAATTGATTATACATTTCTAACTACCGAACCGATGTTTAGCTCATGATAATGTTCTTGATTTTGCCTTCGTTTGCGAATTTTCATTCCATCACACCTTCATTCATGATTTAAACAGCAATATACTTGCTTGAATTCAAAGTGATCGAGAAATCTCTTCCAAACTACAGAACAGATTTGAACTTCGAATATAAATACCTAACCTCCCAATGGTGATGTTTAGCTTGTGACAATTTTTCTGATTTTGCCTTCATTTGCAAGTTATACGGATCTAGGTTAAACTGGCCTGTCGAAATACCGGTCGTTTCTCAGTATAACTCGTAAATGCGGGCAAAATCAGAAAAATTTTCACGAGCTAAACATCACCGTTGGGAGGTTAGGTATTTATATTCAACGTTCAAATCTCTTCAGTAGTTTAGAGAAAAAATTTCTTGATCACCGCGAAGTTAAGCGACAAGTTACCCGGCGAAACGGGCTGAATAAAGATAAGTGTGAAATCAGGAATGACGGTGAAATGAAAAAAATTGCAAACAAAGGAAAAATTGAAAAAATTTCACGAGCTAAAAATCACCGTTTGGTAGTTAGGAATGTATTTTCAAAATTTAGTTGAATCCGTTCAGTAGTTGGGAAAAATTTCTTTGATCACTGCGAATTACGGCCCATATCTCCATATAACTTACGAATGAAAGCGAAATTTGAAAAAATTTCACGAACTAGACATCACCGTTTGGTCCTAATGATTACGTGTTCCAAGTTTTATTGAGCTGCGTTCATTAATTTAGGAGATATTCCTTTATAATTGAATTTGGAGATTGGCCGTGAGACCGGCCGAAAATTTGTCCGAGCCGTCTTGAATTTCTAGTGCTGAAACAGTTAAAACTGCAAAAAAATAGATTGGTTTACTAAATGGGGCTCTACTTGTGAAGTACACATTTCGGTTTAACCTTTCTCTTTTAATATTGCAGCGTACTAAATAACAAGAAAGAGGCGTTTGTTTTTACATGTGTCTGTGGGGAAGGCGCTAGAAATTCACAGGGGAGTAAAAAGGGGGCGATAGAATGAAAAAAGTTTGGGAACCACTGACTTAAACAGGGTAAAGGCAGAGCTGGGCAGCGCTACTTTGAAATGTAGCGGCCGCTACCGCTACATGCTCTAAATGTAGCGGGCGCTACCGCTACATGCTCTAAATAGAGCGGCCACTACCGCTACATGCTCTAAATGTAGCGGGCGCTTGACCACTACCGCTACATGCTCTAAATGTAGCGGGCGCTACCGCTACATGCTCTAAATGTAGCGACCACTACCGCTACATGCTCTAAATGTAGCGGCCACTACCGCTACATGCTCTAAATGTAGCGGGCGCTACCACTACCGCTACATGCTCTAAATGTAGCGCCGCCCAACTCACTGAGGTTGAGGTGCTGTGCAACTCACTGAGGTTGAGGTGCTGTGCAACTCACTGAGGTTGAGGTGCTGTGCAACTCACTGAGGTTGAGGTGCTGTGTGCTGTGCAGACGGTCGGTGAGGAGCCAGCACAGCTTGGCCTCCGTCCTGTGCCTGGGCTTGACCCTGGGCACGCTGAGGTCTGCTGTGCGCCACAGCGCGGGGTTGAGTGACGCGCTGTGCCACAGCCTGCACACCCGCGACAACCTGCGGGCACAAGGGGGGTTGTAGTGATGGTGGGGTCAAAGGGGTTTGGTAATGGGTGAGGTCAAAGGGGTTTGGTAAGGAAGGGATCAAGGGGTCACGGTAACAAAAAGGGCAATAAAAGGGAAAGTCACACTTGTAATATTGGCACAGAATTAGCAGCAAACTAGAACTTACATGCTCATAAATTCACACAATAATCGAGCAGAGATAACGAGTTCATAAGAAAATGTCTTCATTGGCAGCTTCATGATACCTACTAATACCAAGTGATACCTACTTGGTAGGGCTGGTCATGGGGGTACTGGGACTGCAATGTCCACGACAGTAGGAATACAGTATACAAGGATACTACGTAAGGATACTACTAAAGGATACTAAGGATAAGGTCCCCACCTGAGGAGGGCAGGGATGCAGTTGTCATCCCCGATCACGCGGCTGAAGATCATCCCGAGAACTTCGTTGCTGATCTTGCAGCCCCAGGGGGACTGGGGCTCCCCTCTCACCTCGGCCAAGGGGGCGCCAAACCCGGGGTTCTTGTACACATCCGACCCCGTCTTAGGCCCCCGCTTCTTCCTGGCACCAGGGTTGATGTGGTTCAGCACCACGGTGGGGTAGATGCCTCCAGACACCAAGGGCACCATGCAAGGGCTTGGGGAGCTCAGAGGAGTTGAGGACTCGGAGGTGGACTGTTGCTTTTTTCGGGAGGCGGCTTCTGCAGACTTTGTGTACTTGCGCTTCTTGGGGATCGGCAAGTCTGGGGCGCATGGTAGGTCATAGGGGGAGGAAGAGGAGACGCTGTAGTAGGGGGAGCTGGTGGTTGACGAGCTGCTCTGGTCCTGGCTCCCAGCGGGGGACTTGAGGGAGGAATACGCTGCGTAGGAGTACGAAGGACTCTTGGGGAGCACAGCCGGCTTAGGTGTCGTGAGTTTGAGCTTAAGTTTGATGCCGCAGGACTGAGGGTCGGTGGTGATCTCGCTCTCGTAGACGGGGAAGGCCTCCTTCAGCTTACGCTTCTTGTGCTTGTGCTGCATGGGCGAGGGCATCGGTGATTCTATTGACGAGTCGTTGAAGGAGTAAAGTTGCTCGGCATCATCCAAGGGCTTGGCAGACTTGCAGGGACTCCCAGGGCAGTTGAAGAACCTGCTGACATCTTTGCCATGCGAGGTCGCTGCCACAGGAGGACCCAGGGGAGCTGCTGGTGCAGTCGGGGGCGTTTGTTGAGGTATTAATCTCGCCTCAGCCCCACTAGGGGCTCTATCTCTAGTCGGACTAGCCAAGACTTGTTTCAAGGACTCGCCTGCTGCAGCAGGAGGAGGGGCATGCAGTTCAGGGAGGTCTAATCTGTTGTCGAGGCTCGGGGTGAAATGCAGTTGATTGTTGCGGCCGTCAGGGAGGCAGGGAGGAGGACCTGTTCTGTTGGGTGGTTCCCCAGAGGTCTTGTACCTTGATGGTTCGATGAGGGGGGCTGGTGCATAGGAGCTGGCATGAGTTTGGTTAGCAAAGTTACTTCTGATGTTATTGGCTTGATTTATATTGTAAGAGTTGGCTTTGGCATACGTGGCACTGTACCCATCAGCATCAGTTTTAAAATTAGTATTAGAAGGGAAATGTTCATTGTTGGAGCTGCCACCATAGCAACTACCTGGTATAGATGACCCAGTGTTCTCCACAGCTGCTGTCGGGGGTAAGTTATGAGGGTCAGAAACAGAGGGCTTCGTGCGGGCCACATTTGTGCTCGGAGATGATCTGGGGTCTGTATATCCTGAGCTTGGGGTCTGCTGGGGTCTTGGGTCCACAAACCCTGAACTCGGGTGTCTGCCGCGTTGTCGAGATTGACTAAAGCTGTCAAACTGAGCACCTGTGGAGACTCCGGTCTGTAATTCACTGGAGGGCAGACTATCAGAGGGCAGACCCCAATGTGGGGCACGGTTACCAGGCAGATTGTCTGCTGGTCTGAAAGCTGGGTTGCTTGGTTGGTAGTCTGTAGGTCTGTAGGCTGAGTTACTTGACAGGCAGTCTTCTGGTCTGTAAGCTGGGTTCCTAGACAAATTATCAACAGGTTTATAAGCTGGGTTACTGGGCAGGTTGTCTGCAGGTCGGTAAGATGAGTTACTTGGGACGTTGTCAGCAGATGGGTAGCTTGGTTGACTAGGCAGATTGGTTGCAGGTCTGTAGGCCGGGTTACTTGAAAGGTTGTCTGCAGGTCTATAGACTGGGTTGGCACCTGATTCAGATTGGGTTAGGTTACCCATAAAACTTGCTGCTCCAGGTCTATCTGGGTCTCGGGCTGGTCCACTAGCACCTGATGGCATCAGACCACTAGCAGCTGACGGCATCAGACCACCAGCACCTGATGGCATCAGACCACTGGTCCCTGATGGTATCAGACCACCAGCACCCTCGTCCACCGGGGTCCTGTTAGCAACAGCATTGGAGATGACACTGGAGATGGTGCTGGAGATAGACTCGGCGATGGAGGCTGCTGTGGAGTGGAGTGGCGTGGAGTTTGCTGCGCTGCCTGCCAGGGATGACAAGCCTGATGCAACCTTCAGGTTGAGTTTGTAGCGGCTGGTCTTAGCGCACCAGCCCGCACGCCCTCTACCTACGCAACTCACGTGGTTGCGCACATTGTGCGCACCATGTATACGCACGTTCCTTGTATGCGCTGCGCATAATATGCATGGACAGTTTGGTCTTCTGTGTTCCACGTTGATGCTAGTGCCCTCAGGCAGGTGCATGAGGGGCTGGTTGTGGTATGTGTCAGGGGTGATGTTCCAGTAGAGGCTGTCGTCTGGTTTCTGGGAGGCTGGGGATGAAGTGGGGGGGTTGTTGTAGGCGGGGAGGTCTGACGTAGGACGGTATGCATTCTTGGTTCTGTAGGGATCAGACAGGTACGCGTGGGGATCTGGGGTATTTGGAACGGGGTGTACTCGGTTGGGCGGGAAGCAATTCTGAGTCATGTCCGACATGCTCTGACTCATGCTGGACTTCTGAGTGCTGTTAAGGTTGGCAGCTGAGGGCACTTCAGAGCAAGCCAGGAGACTGTCCATGCTCCCAGACTTCATTGGCACATTATTAGCATTGCTTGACATGGCGCTGTCTGATGGCTTGTAGTGCTGCATGTCGCGTTGATGGAATGCGTTGAAATTATCAGAGGTTGAAGGTAGAGATGAAGTGCTACTTCTAAACTGCCCTTTGCTGTACCCTGGCGAGTAGTTGGTGGAGGCAGGCGTGGTGCTGCGGCTACCAGAGGTTTTGTGCTGCATTGTGAACTTGTTGCTGCAACCGGGAGCTGTGTCACCCAGGTTCATCTGCGGCAGCCACGGTTCATACGCTGATTTTGATGACACGCCTGTAGGGGTGTGGCCAATGCTGGAGGAGGGCATAGAGGATTCTGGATACATGCCTGAGGACTTCATTCCTCCTATGGAATGAAGTCCTCCTTCCATAGCAGCCTTCATGCTCATCATGTATGGGTTGCTGACGTCATACCCTGCCTTCATGCCATCCAGTAAGCCATTCATCATGTGGTTGGTTGGCATGAACCTTTCGTTATGCAGGAAAGGCTCCGTCAAGGGGTTGGGCATGAGTCCTGGCATGCCATGCCCAGTGCTACCTGGCATACCCAAGGGTATGTTGATGCCCATATTGTGCTGGGAGGGGAGCATGCCGGCCATGTTGCTCTGCATGTATGAAGGCAGCATGCTGTTCAGTTCATGTGGCTGCTGGGAATTAGTCATGTGGGTGAGAGCTTCCAAAGCTTGGTTAGCCCCACCACCACCACCACCAACGCTGCTACTTCTACCAAACTTTTCCATCTTCTCACTAGCCATGGAGAACTGCGTCATATGTTCGAGGAACTCAAGATATTTCTCATGGTTGCTGAGGCCTGCAGCGTCACCGTTCTTGAAGCTTGGGTCCGACATGATGAAGGACTCGAGTGACTCCCTGATGGCCGCGGCATCCTTCTTGTTGAGGCTGTTGATGGCGGCCTCTAGGGAGGCACTCTCCCCAAACGAGGGGTCCAGGTTGGGGGGCGACATCAAGCCCCCCTGCGACGTCTTGAAGTTGTTGAAGGGTGTGTCTTGGATGGAGGAGGTCCCAGGTTCAGTTTTCAGCACCGGATTTGGATAACCAAAAGGTGCAGCACAGCTGAAGTCAAGGGCATCTGGCCCAGTCTTGTGTTCTGACCATGAGTAATAATTTTCAGCTTGTCTTTCCTTTATGTTGCTTCCAAAGTCCGATTGCAAGTTGGTTTTCAAAGCACTGGTCTGGGCAGAATGCTGGCTTGGATGGCAGGAGGGTTTAGCAGCATTAGAGTTGTTCCAGTGCCGGTCAGAAGGTTCGGAAGCTGGCAGTCCAGACGGGGTTTTGAGGTTGCTGTACATGCCTTGACCTAGTGAGCTGACAAGCCCTGACGCTGGGGTTGTAGGGTTGGAATAGTTTACATTGCCCAAGGAATCTGGGTCTGAATATCCAGGAGCTGCTGCAGGAGTTGAGGGGCCAGGAGTTGAAGGGTTCTGGTAGCTGTTAGACCCAGGGTTCTGGTAACCATTTGAGCCAGGGTTTTGATAGCTGTTTGAACCTGGATTTTGGTAGCTGTTAGAACCAGGATTTTGGTATCCATTAGAACCTGGGTCTTGGTAGCCATTCGAGCCAGGGTTCTGGTAGCTGTTTGACCCAGGGTTCTGGTAACTGTTTGATCCGGGGTTTTGGTAGCTATTAGACCCAGGGTTTTGGTAGCCATTTGAACCTGGGTCTTGGTAGCAGTTAGACCCTGGATTCTGGTAGCTATTAGACCCTGGATTTTGGTAGCTATTAGACCCAGGGTTCTGGTAGCTATTAGACCCAGGGTTCTGATAGCCATTAGACCCAGTATTAGGATAATTGTTGGGCCCAGTGTTTGAGTAGCTATTAGTCCCCGAGTTAGCATAGCTGTTGGACCCAGCATTAGAGAAGGTGGTGTTGGCAGCAGCAGACGAGTAAGAAGCTCCTTTGCTATATCCTTCCTTGTTCAGGTATGAGCTGGGCTTGTTGGAGGACTCAGAACCGAGAACACCGAGGCTGCTTGCGTCTTTGGTGTCATATGCACCAGCAGCAGAACCTCCTACAGTAGCTGTACTATCTCCGTCACTGGCATTACTCGAGTAGAAGTTGTACATTGAGTTAGTACTACACCTTGTGTCTGGCACTGATGCTGTGGTGCTCATGTGCTGTTGTGTGTTGCTCTGCCGGTATGAGGAAGAAGAAATGCTTACTGATGTCGTACTCTCCAGTGAATTTGTTGCACTACTACGGCTGGAGGTAACCTTCTCATCACAGGTCTTCTCAGGTGCTGGGGATACTTGTGACGTCAGCAGGCTGGTGCCAGAAGATCGGGAGCCTCTGGACTCCTGAGAGCTAAGAGTGCTGGAGCTCTCCCTTGCTTGAGTATATGCAGGAGGACTGGGTCCATAAGACGAGCCCTCACTCACTTGAGGTCCCGCAGTAGGGCTTGGCCCATAGGAAGAAGAGCTCTCACTGGAGAGGCTTCCTCCAGGAGGACTTGGTCCACAAGTACTAGAGCTCTCGACCAGCCCCATCAGAGCGTTGGAGGGACCTGTGTAGCCGCTGGCATTTTCTGCAGCCACATAGTGGGAACTGGCACCATAGACGGGAGTATCTACGGTGCCACCAAAGCTGGGGTTCGGGGTGTTGGGGTTATGGTAGCTAGAGTTGGGGGTTGTATCCGTGCCACAACCTGAAGTTGGAGTGTTGGGGTTGACATAGCTGGAGCATGGAGTGTTGGGGTTGGTGTACCCAGAGCTTGGGGTGCTTGGGGTGGGATAGCTGGCAGCCCCCGAGTACCCAGGGCAGGAGTTGGGGTAGACGTTGGTGGCATTGGGGTAGGCACTTGCGGAGATGCCGCTCATGGAGTTGTAGGGAGGAGTTGGATAGGGCGGGGTTGGGTACGGAGTCATAGAATTACCGCAGGAATCCTTGGGGCAGTACCCGAAGACGGGGATGATGGGATCAGAGGATGCAACCCCAGGCATTCCTTCCTTGGGAGGACAGACTTCCCCAGGAGTGGTCCCCAGGGAGCCAGGAGGAGAAGCAGTGGGGGAAGTGACGTTCTTTCCTTCAACGGAAGGCAGGTTAGAGGCGCCTGTCTCATGACTGGTGCTGCAGCTGGACCATGAGTTGACGTCAGCTTTAGCAATGGTGTCAGCACCGCCATAAGTATCATAGGGCTGTTCAGTGTTAACAAGGTCTTTGGTGGTCTTACTTTGAGGCACATCAGCAACATCGTTCACCACGCCTTGTGACTTTGAAAAGTCCTTTACAAACACCTTATTTACACTCACACCTCCCGTGTCACACTCAGTATCGTTAGCCTCCCTCACTTCATCACCAGCTTTCTGTTGGCGAACTGCACTTTCGGCCACAATTTTCTCCTGGCCATAGAGACCTCCTCTCTCAACAAGCTCATTTAAGCTGCCAGCAAAAGATGCAGACTCATTAGCATCGTCTCCTTTATTATTATGTACAATAGATGTTGCTTGCTTCACATCCATATTACTGGTCTCACTCTTAGCTTTATTATCTCCTTTGTCATCCTTGGTCTTCGCTTCTGTCATGTTGTTCTTGGTCTTTGCTTCTGTTGCATCTTCCATGTTCTTAGAACTTGCATCAGAACTACCAGGTTCTACTGCAGACGCTGCACTGCTATTCTCATTCAGAAGCTGACTTGACATGGACGTATCTCTGTAAAAGTTCTGGTCCATGGAAAACTGTTCACTAGATTCACTCGCTACACTAGCTTTACAACTTACTTCACCTACACCATCTTCAATACTTGATATCATACTAGTGTTCATATTATTCCTAGAAGAAAATTGTTCATTTAAATTAGAGTTTTTGTTAGCCTCATCCACTTTAGCAGAGGCATCATACGATCTCTCAAGCACAGTAGCTCCGTCTAACTGAACTAACTGCTCAGGGTTATAATTTTTCTTGGCTTCTCCATCAAGTAAACTGTTATTTACATCAGCCACAGCGTCAGTGCCACATGCCGGTGCCACAACAAATAATGCGGTAGCATCATTAGCTATGTTACTAGCACTTTCTTTGCCTAACAACACATCATTTTCATTATTCTTATCACTCATATCATTCCTAGGTTTGTCTACATCTAAGGGCAGAGTTTCAGTTACCCCAGCAGCAGGGCAGAGCTTTGGGCTCTCAAGGCCCGGCATTTCTACGTCCCCCATCACGGGGGGAGATTTGAAGTGAAATTAAGTGCAAGGTTTGCTCTAGGAAGAGCTGGACAAGTCTCTCAACGCAGTCACATATCTGGAACAAAAAACTGGCATTAGTTGTGGCATATGGCATCAGTTCTACACATCAAATAGCATCAGTTATGTCAAATGGCATTGGTTGTGTCAAATGGCATTGGTTGTGTCAAATGGCATCAGTTATGTCAAATGGCATTGGTTGTGTCAAATGGCATCAGTTATGTTAAATGGCATCAGTTACATCAAATGGCATCAGTTATGTCAAATGGCATCAGTTACATCAAATGGCATCAGTTATGTTAAATGGCATCAGTTACATCAAATGGCATCAGTTATGTCAAAGGGTATCAGTCATGTCAAATGGCATCATTTATATCAAATGGCATCATTTACATCAAATGGCATCATTTACATCAAATGGCATCAGTTATGACAAATGACATCTGTTACATCAAATGGCATCAGTAAAAAAGATAATAAAAACCTAGCATTAATTGATCATAAAATTACTAGAATAACTTTACCAGCCTCCTACTAAAATATCAAATGGAAACTTGAAGCATCTCATGAATATGAATGAAACACAGAAAACCTCTACCTCTCGTTCTTCCTACAATCTTTTTCCTAGAAGTGAAACTACAAGCAAATGTCCTTATTCTAACATCAAGAGAAAATCTGCAGACCCTCCACAAACATAATATTCACATAGCACGACCCCCTAGACACACAAACAACCAAGAAATTTGAATATTTTCAAAAATTTGCACTAGAAATCCAAGGGATGTTGAAAAAAAATTCTGGGTGGAAATCCCCATCGCTGGAAGCGGTATACAGCTGCACGTGTTGTCTGCAAATCATTAAACAAACTTTTGAACTTCTGACTGCCGTTCCTACTGCCCCTTTCTTCCTCACTGCCCCCAGATCTTTCCACCACCCCCAGGGGGGCGGTACTGCCCACTTTGGGAACCACTGCTCCAGAGTCAGCTGTTATGTATGTTCATTCCTTGTCCAACATTAAAAGCCCAATAATCATTTGCCTAATGTTTGGTGAGCTCTAAATAAGCTCTTCCTAACCAAAATAATACTTGACAAACATTAAGAGGGAACTCTCACATCCATCATTTTCCAGACTGCAGCTTCATAGCAGGCAACAAAAGTAATCGTGTTTAAATAAATTCAAATTGAAGCATTCGTAATTCAAAACTTAGTGGAATTTAGAGCAGGAGCTTTCTACAAGTTGAGGTATGCATTGAATATAACATATCTGCCACTGCCACTACACATATACCGTCAAGTGGGGTGACTTTGGCCACCAGGGTGACTTTGGCTGTCAGGGTGACTTCAGCCAACCTTTATGATTTTGTTTTGCTGCCATTTGTTTCTGTTGTAGTTGTATTATGTTTATGAAATGAAATGGTATCCAATGTAGTTTTTTCTATATCAATTGGAAACTGTTTTGTTTCATTAATTGTAAATCCTGCGTGACCTACACAAACTAAATGCCACAGTACTGTTAAGAAAAAGCTGAGTGAAAACTTTAATATTTTGAGATACAAAAATAATTTTGGAACCAGATCTTTTTATACATGCTTAAAAACTTAGCTGGCCAATGTCACTCCATAGTAATGGGCAGAATGGGGTGACATTGGCCAGCCAATAAACGCTTAGAATAATAGATTTTTTCTTCTTTTTTCAGACAATATACACAGCTATAAATGTAAATTAGAGTCTAGGCCATATCGGACATATTCGGAGGAGTTGTTTAAGAAAGCACTGCAGTTGATGGAAGTTGGACAGTCTACTCTTTCACCTAGATCCTACTCTAGATACTCTATATTTAGTATCCTACATTATTCAGCTATCAGACTGGGGCTTCCCATCTGCGTTTTTTGGTAAAAAATTACCTTGACAAATAGGGTCTCACTTTACATAAGTTCAAGGGAAATCTTCCTGGTCAGGATTGGGTGATCTCATTTTTAAAGCAAAATTGAGACCAGCTTACAACCCAAAATGCTAATAACATCAAAAGAAGCCGTGCCAATAGTGGCAGTGAAGTTATGGCCCAATATTTCTGCAATCTGGAGGAAACCTTGAAGGATGTCCCACCTGAGAACACTTAACTATGATGAGACAAATTCAGCAGGCAATTACCATCCTTTAAGGGGACCGGCTACCCTCCGGAAAAACTTCTACAGTTATCATCTGATCATCATGAAACTTCACATACATACGTAAAATGTAAAAAAAAATAACATTTTGCTCCTATGAATTTTTCGAAAAAATCGATAGAAAACGTGAAATTCATAGAAAACGGCTAAAAAGGGGTACTTTAGAAAATCTATCTCCTCCTACAAAAATCATCCTACAACATCGAGACACGTATCATTCTATTCGTAAAGACCATATCTGTCAATTCAAACATGGGTTTTTTCATTTTCCCCATAGTTTTTTTTATGAGCGTTTTTTCCATTCTTCTCATTTTTTCCCCCTCCCCCCCCTTCTCCCCCATATAAAAAACAAACCAGATAGAAATTCAAAAAAGTGATGTTCAAATCGATAGGTATGGTCTTTGCGAGTTGAATGGTATATGTCTCATTGCTGTAGCTTGAAAACTGTAGGAGGAGATAGATTTGCCGTGAGACCAATCGGAGGTTTTCACCACGCCCGAAAAACTGCCGGGCGGCACGTAAAATGATGTAAAAGAGTCGTAACGTAGCCAACATACCAAAACTAAGCCTTAAAACTAAGTGAGGAAGGACTAGAGCAAGTGGCTGCACACCTTTCACCTCGCTATCATGATCGGCACTGAAAGATCTGGCTGCATCTGGCAGTATATCAAGTCACGCCCCGTAATTAATGCCTTAGGAATTTGTTAAGGCCGCCCCACACCGCCCCCCGTTCCATGGGGCGTGGTGAACGTAAAAATGGAGGTAGAAAGATGATTCTGCCACCAATGGAATCGTCAGAAAGTAAGCTTTAAGATGAGTATGAGCACCGGATAATACCATGATTGGCCACTTTACGTCAGACATTCCTTTTTAGTGTGTCTAGCCTTCTAATTAATCCCATAGGTTTTAGTTAAGGGCTCTAAAAACTCCCTCCCTTCGGGGGGCTGTTACGAAATCATTTTTCGACGTAGAGGGATGATTCTGGTACCGTTGGATGCGTCAAAAAGTAAGCTTTAAGATGAGCCCAACAACCGGAAAACGCCAAAATTGAAAATTTTAGGGTAGCCGGTCCCCTTAAACACCCTGCATGGTTGATGTCACCTCAAAAATAGCTGAATTTGGCCATAAAATCCTTTTTACTACATTTTTACCATGTTTAAACACATATGGCATAAGTCACCCCATAGTGGGGTGACATTGGCCAGCCAGGTAATTTGTAAATAAATGATTCAACTATAAAAGTGACATAATTCAGACATGACATATTTAAATATGAACATTTCAATGATATATGTACAAATTTACAATGGCAGCACCGCTTCATTCCTATTTTGTAGGAATTTGATTGGCAAAAAATAGTGTAATTTGGCCACAGTCACCCCACTTGACGGTACATACATTTTGCTTCTGAATTAATTTATAGTGAAGTATTAGAGATACGACACAAAACGCAAAACTAGTTTAGATATAATCTTCATTGGCTTTGAGAATGGATTCATGAACTTAAAAAACAAAATCACAGGCTTAGGATTTCTATTTAATGGCTGTAAATTTAACAAACTTCCAGCTCATAAAATCCAGTAGCAGCTACAAATCAGTTTTTTCCCCACTAGAGCAAAACAACAAAAAGCAGGTAAGGAACACTTCAAATAGATCTTACGTCATCCAAGACTGGAAAATTACCCTAAAATCCTAAAATAGAGTGACTTGGGAAACCCTACTAAGAAAAGAAAACACTACACTCATGAAGTTCTTGCCTTTGAAAAATTGTGTTGATGGCTCTAGATTCTAGAATTATCATGAGATGAACTACAAATGCAGTAAAGAGATATGTTTTATTTATTTACTAGGTGACTATTTCTATCACACAAAGTAAGTGTAATCACAAATACAAAGTATCACAAATTGGTTCAAGCCTCCCCATCAATGGTCCAAGCCACCCTGTTTTACAGTACCACTAACTACTGAACTACATACAACTCATGGCAACAAAGTGACATTTCCATAATAATTTTGGAACGTTGTGCCTTGCTTGTGCATTTTCGATAACAGTAGGACTAGGACAGGAGCCTTCTTGGCTTGAGGCTGAGAAGGAATCCTACAGAAATGGCATTAGAAGTTCATCTTGCTAAGAAATGGTAAGAAAAAATACTCATGGCTCAGAGAGTAGATATATATGATGCCAGAAGCACATCTGGAATCTATATTTAAATCTAGCTAGAGAGCCATGATTAGAGCCTTCTTGCCTTTTTTATAGCCACAAGATGAATAATGAATAATTTTTTATTAAATTGTTAGCAAACACATACAACAAAGGCATGTGATTCAAAAGTTATCAAATGTACCTATTTCAGTTGGCACCACAAGATTTAAGTAATAAGTAGGCTTTCTTCAAATCTTGGCCTGAAATCATACATAGAGAACATAGTGTGGAATAGATATGTTCTTTGAGCCACGACTGTTTTTGTGCAAACAAATCCGTTTTGTGCATCAAATTTGCAGCCGCAAGTTCAATTGTCAAGCTCTGAACATACTTTCAAAAATGTGGAAATCAATATTCAAACAGTAGCACATTTTGGGTCATTTCTCTACTTTCACCCTTGAAACCACAATACAACTTCTTGCTTAAGGCAATAAGTAATGTTATAACACTATGTTTGTTATAACACCATCTGTTAGCATTAGCAAGCTGACTCATACTTTCCCAACTACAATGGCATTAACAAGAATGTTTTCCGCATGAAGATTTAGGCTATGGCCAAAAGCATGCTGGCAACCACAAGACAAAAAAAACAAAAATATTTTGAGTATGGATGTTTTTGGCAGAGAGTGTTACTTGACTTGACTGTAGAACCAATCTGGAATATAGGATAGAATTTTGTGGAAGTTGCTATTAAAAAACTATCATTTTATGACAATTTTTAAAATTACAATCAAAAATTAAAAGTATTTTTATTTTGATCAATTAAATTAGACAAGAGGCATAAAAATGACAAACTGACAGCAAATATGGGCACTTTTGTCTCATTCACAGGCCATTTCTGCCAGGTTGTCCAGAATGGCAGTATAACAAATTTTCTTGGAGTGACATATTTCTTATATATTTTCTTATATTATTTTCAATTAAACCAAAAAATCTGATACTGGAGCCATAAATTCCCCTAAATTTTAGAAAACTTCTAAATTTCCAATTTATCAAAAATGAAATTCTTTGAAGCCACAAGATTTTTGATGACCAGTAAGAGTATATTGCAATCCTATAATCTACACAAAGGAAGCCAAAGCTTGAGCAAGACAAACTAAAATTTCAAGATAAAAAGGATATCCACTTGTCATTTAGCACCAAACCGTCAAATGCCACTGAGCAGAAAGTGGGTGAATATCGCAAGATCTTTGGCAACGCATCCGCGGCAAAATTTATGCCTTCCGAAGATCTTGCCGACACATTTGGATTGAAATTATTGCACAACTTACAGCACAAGAGAAATGACTTTAAAATTACTGGAAATCTGAAGGACTGTAAGCGCACACAGTAAGGTTTCTGGTACACCAGAAGGATCAGGAGGCAGTGAAGCTTGTCGGGAAATCAGTTATGTTGTGAGTTTCGGTGCGTGGATAGTAAAGGATATAGTATCAAAGTTGCTTGCAGCACTTTCTTACAAAAAATTACCGGCAATGGATCTTAAAAAGGGCCAGCAACGCTTTTGGCTGAAAAATCATATCTTGGTGACAGGGTGGAATTCTAGAAATGGAGGTTCACTTATAAAAAAGCTTTCCACCAAAGGTGGAATGCTTTCCTTAGATACAGTGCTCTGCCAGGTGACTGACTATAAATGAAAAGGAGGGTCAGAAGTGGACAAACTGTTTCAATTGTATAGTACCTCAGATTTGTTAGAAAATTGTTTGAATGTCTCTTGTTTGATAGATATTCTCTATTTTTCTTTTATTTAATGGATTTTTTGAAATTTTTCCAGGCTTTTTGTTTGTAATGATCAAGTTTAAGTTAAGTATTTAGTTAACCAGTACTGTAGTACATATACCATATTTGGGGCGGGGCATATGGGCACAACCAATCACAGCTGGAAAGCATCCCCATCAACCAATCACAGCTTGAAAGCATCCCCAGCAACCAATCACAGCTGGAAAGCATCCCCATCAACCAATCACAGCTTGAAAGCATCCCCAGCAACCAATCACAGCTGAAAAGTGATAGGATATGTATAATTTATATAATAAAATGGACTGGAAGTGGAAAGTTCCTGGACTTTCCAACCTTTCAGATCCTGCTTTCCAATATGCTATGTGTACTGGTTAATTTAATATCCCTCTAGAATTCCACACTGCGTTGGCATAGTGGCAAACCAGACCTTTTTTGGAATCAGTTCATTTTTAATTTTCCCAAAACTCAAGATTTAAACCAATTTCTTAAGTATGATAATGCTGGCATCCATGATACTTTACTGGTCTACTTATATGTCTGTCTTATAGGACTCAAAAATGAACTTGAGGCAGTTGAGGGAGAGTCTAAAAAACTCTCTGCTTTGTCACTATGCTGCTTAGCGATGCTGCTTGCACCCTCTGTACGACTGTACCCTGGGTCAAACGGACATATGTATGGCTAATGTACGCAAAATAGCATGATGAAATTATGGAAATGGTGGTACATATATTTAAGATCAAGCTAGCCTTGTAACTAGCTTGCTAGGCTGCCTAGTGCTTATTGCCCAGCAGGCCAGCAGGGCCAGCCCAGAGGCCAAATTTTAAATGGAAAGTCAGGTTTAGTTTCATTACAAAAATATTACTGCAATGTTAGCCAATCCCATTAGCATTTCATTTTTTTGGCAACAGCAGCACAATGCAGTGTTCAATTCAGTAATTATGAGTAATATAATGAACCTCAGGAAAACTGAGGCTCAGTCTTAGCAGTGGCACTCTTAGTGAAAACGAAATTTACAAACTGAAAGTCTGAAAACAAAATGCGTGGGCTTGAGCAAGACGGCATCACATCGGAAAATATCAAAGGTTAAACTGCAGTATTTATGAAGGCCACGGTCATAATATAATGAAACAAGGCAGGCATTTTCACAATATAATGTTCAACAGCAGCTTATGATTAGGCCCAACGTGGTGGTTTCTTCTCGAGATGAGTTGCGGAGGAAGAGATAGTAACGGAGCTTCGGGAAATAAGAAGTTGGACTTCGTAATTGCACACCACTTTCTACCTGCGATAAGCATTGCGCGTGTTCTTTTAGGAACTTAACACCACTCACAAACATAAAAAATATCTTTCGGAAGTCTTGATGAAACTTTTTTGAACAATAATACCAGCATAGACACAAAAACTCTCTTCATACCCACGAGCAATTTTCCAGCACACCATTACTCGATCTCCTCTCGACTAGAAATGTCTCAAGTTTTGTTTATTGTTAAGGACGTACAAACGAACACACTCCTTTCTCGTCTCTTCATTGATGGCTCCTATTGAAAGTCATGATGTAAAATATTTCAATTTATAATATAAATGATGACCATTTGATTCATATAGAATTTTAACTCTTGATAGGAGATAACTTACGAAATAAGTTTTTGTGAGAAAAAGTCATCCTGCTGCCGACATCTTGTAGCTGCGTTTCTTTGGGTGGCAAAAATATTATGCGATGGTGCATATAAATCAAAAAAAGGTACAACAAGTCAAAATTATTATTAATTTTAAATGGAAAAATTATCTATGATTTTTCAAACACGTATTCTCGATTTACGTGAATATTTCCATATCACACATGTCGAAAGAAACGCAGATGTACATAAACATCTGTCGTCTGCAAAGCGAAGTCGATCTTTCACATGGGCCTCGCAATTCGCGCGTTTCCAGACTTTCAGGAAATACAATATTTAGAGAATAAAATAATCAGTAAATAATCTTTTAGGCAGAATTATTCAAATTCTACATTATTCTATATTTTATAACTGTAATAGTACTTAGGGATTAATTAGATGTAAAATGACTCCTCATATATGCAATGTGGGAGTAACTATAAACATGCATTTCATATGTTTCCATCATAATTAAATATATGTTTTGGTCAATCGCATAGCATTCATTTATAAAAAAAATGAATCTTATGATTTTGAAGATACATACAGAAACAGATTGCAGACCTTGAACGGGACATGAGTGAAGACTGAGAGGCCTCTCATTGGTAAGGTTCTCATATCAAGGTCACTAATGCACACGTCAAATGGCCTTGAAACTTACCTAGTGCTCTAGATTACATATAAAAAATAAATATGTATTGCGGGGATATTAAAAGAATGTCATCTTTCTATGCACAAATGGCATTGAGGGCAGTCAATGAGAATGCGGTCAACTGCCCTTTTAAAAAGGAATTCACGGATGTATGATGAATGCATGAGATAACTGCTCTTAAATGAAAGAAGATAAGTCAGCCGAAAAAAAGTTTCCTTCAAAAGGCGTGTCATTAATATTAATGCCACTAGGGTTTCCACAATGAGCATATCTCTAGCCTACTAGGTACATCATAACGCGGTAGAATTAAACTTTTCTTTTCAATCTGAAAGGATTTTAATATAACTAAACGGCTCAGTGCCTTGCTGAATTGACAGTTTAAGAGGCTAAAGCCTTTGATTCGCGAAGTTCAAAATCTAAAATCTTACCCGAATTGCAACGATTGCTATGAATCTGACAACGCTTTTAATCTTAATCCCTTAGGAATTATTGAAAGACCTAATTACGACTAATAATTCTCATGATGACAAGTTTGAGTAAAACTTAATTGTTTCTGCACTCGCGTACTGTTATTTGAACAGCAAATGAAATATGAATAAAAGTAATAGTATGTACATTAGTACGAATACTGATCGTGAACTGAACGCCCTAATTTAATATTGATATTATTCTTATTTGGATATTATGGTATTGCTAGCAAACCGGCAAATGAAACAAAATAATGCAAACCTTACTCATAATGATGCTAATTTACCATACAATTTCCTGAATATTATCAGTTACGCAAGGGCTAGAATTTTGGAGTATCCCATCTAATTGAAATGTGATTAGAAAACAATACATTTTGATGATAAACAACTGTAAATGTACAACGTGAATGGTAGCGCAAATTGCGATGAATTGTCACAACCTTAATTCATAAGAAAATATTTTTTCCAGCTATAATAACAAATATGAAAAATATGAATTTTTTTACATTTTGGTATTAACATTTGTTCTATATCTCATGTATGGCGGGATAGCGTATATGCTGCACGTGAATGGGAGAAGCCCAGGCTGCCGCTGCCAGTGTTTGTCTTGGAAACGCGCGAAAATTACAGCGTGCGTAGGCACGCAGTAGACCAGATCCATACAGTCAGTGTAGCATAGTCAGTGTAGATGCTGGTCCATACAGTCAGTGTAGAGGCTGGTACATACAGTCAGTGTAGCGGCTGGTCCATACCGTCATTGTAGCGGCTGGTACATACAGTCAGTGGTGTAGAGGCTGGTCCATTTAGTCAGTGTAAAGGCTGGTCCATACAGTCAGTGTAGCGGCTGGTACATACAGTCAGTGTAGCGGCTGGTCCATACAGTCAGTGTAGCGACTGGTCCATAGTCAGTGTAGCGGCTGGTCCATACATGGTACATACAGTCAGTGTAGCGGCTGGTACATACAGTCAGTGTAGAGGCTGGTCCATACAGTCAGTGTAGCGGTTGGTCCATACAGTCAGTGTAGCGGCTCGTCCATACAGTCAGTGTAGCGGCTGGTCCATACAGTCAGTGTAGCGGCTGGTACATACAGTCAGTGTAGAGGCTGGTCCATACAGTCAGTGTAGCGGCTGGTCCATACAGTCAGTGAAGCAGCTGGTTCATACAGTCAGTGTAGCGGCTGGTCCATACAGTCAGTGTGGCGGCTGGTTCATACAGTCAGTGTAGCGATTGGTTTTGACTTTAAAATAACGTTGTTTTAACGAAATCAAAAGTATTCTAATAATTATTATTACAATTAATATTTTTAATTGTGGTTATTCGAACTGACGTGATGTTGACATGGCTTGACGTCACGCTCAGTCGCCGGGACTAAGCGTGCCTCAAATTTCGACCTCTGTCAAACAGGAGTTCTTCTTCTTTTCAGGGTGTCTACACTGGATAGACTTAAAGCCGCAGGTCGACCTCGAGGACGGCCGTCATACAGGAGTGTAACATTCACGCCGTGGCACCTTTCGACACTCCGGACAGAATGCCGAAAACCAGGATTTACCGCAGAAGCAACCTTACTCCCCATAAACCTTCAGGCAACCTACCACGTGCTGGTGAAAGCACGCACTCTTCCAACCAAGAAAACGAACAATTTGGAGGCTATAAAATCAGTGTCGTGGAACGTAGCACAACCGCAAAGCAAATTTCCAATAACAATGATACTATACATTCGGCTGGCCACACAAGTGGGAAGAAAACTGGAGCCAAAAAGAAAAGACGAAGAGTTAAGAAAAATTCAGTAAATGTCAGCACAGAAAGGAAAGAATCCGCAAAGCTCCAACTTCCTAAGAAAGCTCTGAATCCGAATCCCGACGAAAACAAATCCAGGCTCGCGATGCCAATAAGTTCAACTAAAATTCCCGGGCAAGTTGTTCCTAAGTTGCCCACCAACAAGCGAATAGTTCTCAAGTTTGTGGACTACCTCTTCAGCGCTGGCGAAGTGGTTGACATTAGGGAGGAGCTGGTGCGGAGTAATTCATTCATCATGGAAGACAGCATAACCTCGTGCATGGTGGTGTTGTCGAGAATAATTATCGGCTTATGCTCATCGGTAATCATGGAAAAAATCTTTGTAAGCGGTCTTCAAATCTATAAAGTTCATTTCCCGCCTTCTAGTATATGCTTGGTGGAAGAGGAAGACACAAAGGCTAGGGTACCAGCTATAAGAGGAAAGAAGACCTGTGATGTGAGGAAAGTTAGAATGGGACTAACGACTCCACTCGGTGAAGAACGACATGAAGTTGATGTTCAGAACCAAACTGATAGTCAAGCTGACGGTGAGAGGGTTGAATATAGAAGGGGTCATCTCGTTTTGTGTCTGTAGCATGGCTATATCAAAATGGCTTCAGATAGCGTAAAAGTTAACGAAGAAATAGAATTAGAAACACTCTCACATTTCGTATTCCTAGATTGATAAAAAAAATCTCCATGCACTATAAAGGATTCCTTGAAAATACCAGTAATTCTTTTAAGTCTTCATTGGATTCCTTAACAATTTCCTGTCACTTGAAGTTCAATATGTCATTTTGATCAGAATTTATCATTCACCTCCATCAGGCGATAGTCCATTGCCGTGTCCCCAGTACCTGCCCCTCAAGAGAGTATGCCGGTGCGAAGAAGAGTCCTCGAAAGACACCAAGGGGGCCAATTCTTCACGTCAAGTTCTTCCAAATGTCAACACACCTGAACTGGCAGGTATCAAGGTGGGTTCACTCCATTAGCGAGAAGTGTAGTTATGGAATAGTATAAACGGAGGGGACTTCACTAACTTGCACTGTGTACAACGAAATAGCGGATAGGTACCGATCGATGCGCTTGTTCGCCTATATTTAGAGTAGGTTAAGTTAGGTAAAACTCTAAGTAGCACGAGCTAACTGTATTTCTTCGTCCAGACACGTATATACTAGTACATTTCCCCAGGTGCTCTGGACCCAGGCAACGTCGCAGGTAGAAAATAGCAACATGTTCGGCAATGTGATGCATTATCTGGACTGGGAAGAGGTCATGCATCGCTTCGGGCCTAACATCTACTTCATCGACAAAATCCGCACTCAAATGGACGAAATTCGAACCCAGGTATCTCAGGTCCCAGGTCAAACCCAGGTATCCATTCATTTTCAATTTACGATATGGTTACCTTAGTAGTATATTGATCATACATTAAACACGATTTGGAATATCCTTCACGCACATATTATAATTTTACTTCACTTCATAGTCTACCCACACTTGAATGGTGACTATACAGACTGCACCCTAACAATATTCGGGGACCGCCTAGGCTTCGGCCGAATAGTTACAATACTCGGCGCTAAGTTATTCCGGGTCTGCTTGGCCTCTCGATCGAAATCAGTTTCTGGTCAGAATCTCTTATAAGATAAGACCCTATAGTCACCTGAGAGTATGACAAGGGTTGCCCGAGCCGAATCATAGCAAGCTGCCCAGAGGTAGCCTTCGAACCCTGAACCGAAGCGGACATAGAGAAGCTGATCTACGTGCTCCCCTAGTCCTAGGCGGCCCTATATAGTGCAAGGTCGCGCATGCCTCTAAATTTTGTTAGAGTGGTAACCGCAATGATGACTTGAGAGACGTGCTAATAGTTCTGAAAGCTAGATGTTCTCAC